TTTTTTTTTTGAGACGGAGTCTCGCTCTGTCGCCCAGCCCAGGCTGGAGTGCAGTGGCGCGATCTCGGCTCACTGCAAGCTCCGCCTCCCGGGTTCACGCCATTCTCCTGCCTCAGCCTCCCGAGTAGCTGGGACTACAGGCGCCCACAACCGCGCCCGGCTAATTTTTTGTATTTTTAGTAGAGACGGGGTTTCATCGTGGTCTCGATCTCCTGACCTTGTGATCCGCCCGCCTCGGCCTCCCAAAGTGCTGGGATTACAGGCGTGAGCCACCGCGCCCAGCCATTTTTTGTATTTTTAGTAGAGATGGGGTTTCACCGTGATAGCCAGGATGGCCTTAATCTCCTGACCTCGTAATCTGCCCACCTTGGCCTCCCAAAGAGTTGCGATTACATGCATGAACCACCACGTCTGGCCGAGACTTATATTTTTCTATTTAAGTATTTCTATAAGTGTTGAGTCTTCTCTCAACTTCTATTGAACTAAGAGAATTATAATTAAAAGCAAAGTCCTGGTTCTCATAATACTGTCTGAGGTTTTATTTGTTTGTTTGCTTTAGACAGAGTCTCTCGCTCTGTCCCTCAGGCTGGAGTGCAGTGGCTTGATCTTGGCTCACTGCAACCTCTGCCTTTTGGGCTCAAGCAATCCTCCCACCTCACCCTCCTGAGTAGCTGGGATTACAGATGTGCACCTCCATGCCTGGCTAATTTTTGTATTTTTTGTAGAGATAAGGTTTCGCCGTGTTGCCCAGGCTGGTGTCGAACTCCTGGGCTCAAGCGATCTGCCCACCTTGGCCTCTCAAAGTGCTGGGATGACAGGCATGAGCTACTGTGTCTGGCCAGAACTTTATTTCTGTATATTGCTGAGTAATATTCCATTGTCCCAGACGGACATTTGGTTGTTACTACCTTTTGACTATTGTGAATAGAGCTGCTATGATGCTGGTGTACAAATATCTATTTGCAGTCCTTCAGTTCATTTGGGTATATCTCTAGGAGCGGAATTGAGGAGGTATGAGGGATTTCTATATTTAGATTTTTGAGAAACTGCCAGATTATTTTCCACAGTGGCTGCGCCATTTTGCATTCCCACCAGCAATGTACAAGGATTCCAGTTTCTCCACATACTTGCTGACATCTGTAGTTATATTTTTGCTTATAGCCACCTCAGTGAGTGTGAAGTGAGAAGTCTCTCTTTCTTCTCTCTCTCTCTCTCTCTCTTTTTTTTTTTTGAGATAGAGTCTCGCTTTGTTGTTCAGGCTGGAGTGCAGTGGCGCGATCTCAGTCCACTGCAACCTCTGCCTCCTGGGTTCGAGGGATTCTCCTGCCTCAGCCTTCTGGGTAGCTGGGATTATAGGCATGAGCCACCACTCCCCACTAATTTTTGTATTTTTAGTAGAGACGGGGTTTTGCCATGTTGGTCAGGCTGGTCTCAAACTCCTGGCCTCAAGTGATCCTCCTGCCTTGGCCTCCCAAAGTGCTGGGATTACAGGTGTGAGCCACCATGCCTGGCCTCATTTTGGTTTTGATTTGCATTTATCTGATGGCTAATCATGTTGAACATCTTTTCTTTTTTTTTTTTTTTTTTGAGACGGAGTCTCGCTCTGTCGCCCAGGCTGGAGTGCAGTGGCCGGATCTCAGCTCACTGCAAGCTTCGCCTCCCGGGTTCACGCCATTCTCCGGCCTCAGCCTCCCGAGTAGCTGGGACTACAGGCGCCCGCCACCTCGCCCGGCTAGTTTTTTGTATTTCTTAATAGAGACGGGGTTTCACCGTGTTAGCCAGGATGGTTTCGATCTCCTGACCTCGTGATCCGAACATCTTTTCATGTTCCAACATTTAAAAAAATGTTTTCTTCTTTTTTTTGTAGAGATGGGGTCTCACTATGTATGTTGCTCAGGCTGGTCTCAAACTCCTGGTCTCAATGGATCCTCCTGCCTTGGCCTCCTAAAGCACTGGGGTTACAGGTGTGGGCCATTGCGTAACAGTTTTGAACAGGCATCTTGATTTAAAAACTAAATATTGCACCACTGTAGTAGTGTTGTGAACACTATAAAACATGTATTCCAAACTGAAATTAAAAGGGGAAGCTATTTGCATGCAATAAACTCTTGAGTGTGTCAAACCACCCTAATACTGCTACTAAGAATAGCCAATACTTCGAGGTATCTCTTGGAGCAAAGTTCGTGGTTAAGGGTTGTAGATGGGTCCCTCACAACCTGGCTCCAGTTGTCTTTGCCAGTCTCCTCTGTAGCCATTTCCCACTCCCTACTTTATCCTGAAACCAGGTTTTCTCAAGCTGCAGGGCCTTTGCCTCTGCAGTTTACTCTGCTTGGAATGTCCCTGTTCCTACAGACGATTTCTCATACCCTGCTCTCCACACCAAGTCCAAGCGCCTTCTATGGGACATATTCCTGTCACTACTCCCCATATCCGGGCCCTTGCTCTGGCCCATTCCTAAACATCTATTCACCCATTCATCCCTTCATCCCTCCTTTCATCTCTTCATCCATCTACTCATTCATCCACCCATGCCTCCATCCCTTCATTCATCCATCCAACCATCCACCCCTGCAGCCACTCATTTATCCCTCTATCTCTCCCTTCATCTCTTCATCCATTCATCCACCTACCCATTCATCATCCATCCCTCCATCCATTCGTTTATTCATCCATCCTCCACCCATTCATCCCTCCATCCATCCCTTCATCCATCCACCCATCCATCCCTCCCTCCATCCATTCATCCATCTACTCATTCATCCATCCATCCATCTCTCCATCTCTCCATTCCTCCATCCATCCGTCCACCCATCCACCCCTCCAGTCCTCCTTCCCTCCATTCATCCATCGACCTATTCATCCTTCCATCCCTCCATCCATTTGTTTATTCATCCATCCTCCACCCATTCATCCATCCATCCATCCATCCGCCCATCCACCCCCTCCATTCCTCCCTCCCTCCATTCATCCATCTACCCATCATCCCTTCATCCCTCCATTCATTTGTTTATTCATCCATCCTCCATCCATTCATCCCTCCATCCCTTCATATATCCACTTATCCATCCCTCCATACATCCACCCATCCATCCCTTCATATATCCACTCATCCATCCCTCCATACATCCACCCATCCATCCCTCCATCCCTCCCTCCATCCATTCATCCATCTACCCATTCATCCATCCATCCCTCCATCCCTTCATCCATCCACCCATCCACCCATTTATCCCCACCACACTCCTTCCCTTCCTCCCTTCATTGAACACACAGGAGAGGGACGTCTGTGTCTGGCTCTGTGCTCCAACCCCCAGAGAGGAGCTTCTCAAGAGCAGGGTTTTGGGTTGAGCTTTCTCTGCTGCCCCGACATGGCTCAGCACAGCGCTGGCACAGAGGGCCAGCAGGAAGAGAGGAGCGCTTGTTGAATGTGCCTGAGTTTGCAGGATGACTTTGTGAGCCAGTATTCATATTTTTGCAGTGAGGTCATATGTATTTTGAGTTGCATGGGAAGGCCTTACTAGGACAAACCTTTCATGCTTACGCACCTGTGTTCATTCATTCATTCATTCATTCATTCGTTATTGAGCACTTAGGATATTCCAGGTGAAGACAAACTATCTTGTCCCTTGGGACCAGGGAAGGTTTCCCTGAGGTGGTAACACTGAGCTAAAATATGAAGGATGAATGGGAAGTGAATTGGCTGATGTGGGAAGGGAAGGGTGATGGAGGCCAAAGGGAACAGCGTAGGTGAGGGCAGAGGGCTGTGTGGCACATCCCTGGGTACCTGCACTCGTGGGGGACTTGTTTAATATCAAACATTAAAAGGCACTCACATTGAATGTATTTCTTTGTGTTTAAAACAAGAAGAAGCTGGGTGCGGTGGCTAACACCTATGATCCCAGCACTTTGGAAGGTTGAGGCAGGAGGATCACTTGAGCCCAGGAGTTCGAGACCAGCCCTAGCAACATAGTGAGACTCCAACTCTAAAAAAAATAAAAAAATTAGCCAGGCCTGGTGGTGTGCACCCTCCTAGCTACTTTGGAGGCTGAAGTGGAAGGATTGCTTGAGTCCAGGAGTTTGAGGCTGCAGTGAGCTGTGATTGCGCCACTGCGCTCCAGCCTGGGCAACAGACCAAGACGCTGTTACACACATAAAAAAAGTTAAAAAAAGTAGAAAGGATCGTTATCTTTTTGCTTTTCAAATTATTGGGGTCCCATTAAACTCATATGCTTCTTGTGCATGTACAGGCAGTTTTGCCAACAGAGAACAGCTAACCCACAAGTAACTTTCCAACGTGATGACACCGTGGGGGAAATTCTGGAACCAACCGTGAATCCACGTGACACTATGTCTAGCTAAGTAGACATTTCCTTCAAGCGTTTTTGATTTTGTAGCCTTGCTTTTACATTGTCAAATATCAAAGTGTGTGATTTTACAGTTTTTTTTTTTCCTTCCAGGTCTTGAATGTTTTCAGCGGCCTCTGGAAAACCTACAGGCACGGCCCTGGGAGGCTCTGGGTCCCTAGGAGCTCCCCTCCTGGGGTCATTCCGCGGTGTCCGGGGAATGACCCTCGCGGGGCTCGCGAGGTACTCGCGCCCCCTAGCGTCTGGATGGAGAAACGCACCCTGTGAAGATGGAGAACCAGCCCAGCCCCAAAGTGAGGTGGCAGAAAAACGAACCCATGGCCAAGGACTGGCTTAGTTAGCAGTAATTGTTTAAGTGTGTTTTGTCTTGCTGGGCTGCCCCCTCTCCTGGTCGTTTGGCTAGGGAGAACAGGATTTTGTTTGGGCTTTTTCTTTTGCTTTTTTTGACTGTGCCCGTTGGCGTTTGCAGGTTGCCAGCTTCTTCAGGTCCAAGTCTGGGCTGTACAGCTAAAAACAAAACAAACCACCAAAGAATTCACTTTTGTGTCATTCCTTGAGTCCTGAAATCCCCAGCTTGTCTGCCTTCTCTCCACCATTCAGAGTCTTGTATTTTTCTGTTATGATGCAATTTCCCAATCACTTTTTATTAATTTTAATTGACAAAATTGTAAATATGATGCATAGAACATGTTTTGACATAGGTATACAGTGTAAAATATCTAAATCAAGCTAATTTAACATATCTTTGACATACCCGTGACCATACATCCATGCTTATCTCTTTTTCTGTGATAAGAACACTTAAAATCTGCTCAGCAATTAAGTTTTTTATATTAAAAAAAAAGAGATGAACTGTCATGTCGCCCAGGCTGGTCTCAAACTCCTGGCCTCAGGTGATCCCCCTCGGTCTCCCAGCATGCTAGGATTACAGGTGTGAGCCACTGTGCCCAGCCTACTCAGCATTTTTCAAGAATAAAATACATTGACCATGTTGAGTCACCATGTTGAACAATTCCTCTTGCGCCCTTTGACCAACATCTGTTCAGTTCCTCCTCCCTCCCTCAGCCCCTAGAGCCACCATTCTACATGGGAGTTCAGCTTTTTAGATTCCACAAGTGAGATAGGAAGTATTTGTCTTTCTGTGCCTGACCTATTTCACTGAACATGTCTTCCAAGTTCATCCACGTTGTAAACACAAGCTTTCTTGTTTTTAAAGTCTGAATCATATTCAGAGTCTCATGTTTTTATGTATGATGTCTAGTCCAGGGTTTTAGTTGTGCTTCATGGGAGGAATGGGGAAAATTACGTGTTCTTTGTCCATTTGAATTTAAGAAATGTACATGATTACACGATCACGTTTTGATCATGTGCATAGAATCACTACGTGTTTTGGTCATCAACTGCTTATTTCCTTTGTTCTCCCTTCCTCCCTCTCCTCCTCCATGTCTAATTCTCTCCATTTTTCAAATTCAGGCTCACTCTTTCTCCCACAGATTAGTCCCAATTTTCCCCCCTTTTTATCTCTGTTGGTCATGTCTGGACTTGGAATAAACCCTTTCTGTCCACATGGGCCCTGTCTGCCTCCTCTCACTCCTGGCCTCAGTGTCATCATTCATCAAACACTAAGCATCTCATTTTGGGGACACCCCTGAACCTGTGATCACTCGGAGTTGACCGGGCAACAATATCTCCTTACGAAGCAGAGAGAGCAAGTGGTGGGGGGGTGGGAGTTGGGGGGGACCCAGGTGGCACAGAATTAAAATACAAGGGCACCCAACGTCACCAGTCATGAGGAACAAGAAGCCACAGGGAGGGATTTCAAACCCAACACCCAAGGTAAGTGAAAAAAGTCTGGCAACACCAACAGTTTTGGAGGTAGGTAGAAGCCCTCAGTGGTGGGAGACACATTGGTAAAATCACTGTGAAGAATGTGGAAATACCTGGAAATGTTGCAAACGTCCAGATTCTGAAGCTTAGCCTATCCCTACTTGGCTTTATACCCTAGTGAGCTCCATGGAACTTAAGAAAATGGGTTTGGTCTGGGGCCAAACCCATTTTCTTAGATGGGTTAACTTAAGATGAGCCCTGGTCTGTGGGTCGATGGTCACGGGGGACCAGGTCAGTGGTGGCTTGGTCACTGCGGGGCCTGATCAGTGGGACCCAGTCTACAGGGCTTGGTCAGCAGAACACGATCTGGCTTAGTCAACAGGACCTGGTGAGTGGGGACCTGGTGAGTGGGGGCCTGGCAGTGGGGGCCTGGTTAGTGGGGACCTAGTCAGTAAGGACCAGGTCAGTTGGCTGCTGGGTGACCTCAGGCAGGGGGCTTGTCCTAGAAGCCTCCTTTCTTCCATTTGCAGGGAAGATGAAATCAACTGCACCCCAGAGAGCTACTGGGAGGAGGAGAAGTGCATTGAATATGGCCCTGCTATGCAGATTTAGCACTGTACATACTGAGTTCCCCGCAAGGGAGGAGGTTTCACCCACTGCCCTGCCCTGCCTGCATCCCCAGGACCACCCTGCCTGAAGGCAGAGGCTGGGGTGCACCCGCGGATGCTCTGATGCTGACCACAGGCCCTGGGGTGACAGAGATGAGGACATGGGGGCACACGTGATTGGGGAAGCCAGGGCCGGCCGGAGGAGAGACACACGCACACACGTGCCCGCCCATATCCACCTGCACTCAAGTGCACAGACGCATTGCACGCACACATGTCGACAGTTCAGGGGGCAGAGGATGCCGTCTCTGGGCCCTGCTGACCCGTGCAGGGCCCCATGGTGATGGGTGCCATGAGCCCACAATGCACCATTACCCAGTGCCCAGGTACCCGCCCGACTCTGTGTCGTAGAGCAGTTGGAGACACAGCGTGAGTGGTTCTGCCCACAGGACGCTTTCTAGGTGAGAGGCACATCTCTGCGCCGCTGCTTGATCAGACTTAGGAGAGCGTGACATGCTCTCTTCCCTCCCTGCTGACTCGGGCACAGTCGCTACTGGGTGGGTGGCAGCTGCCCGAGGAGGGTCATCCTCGAGTGCTCACTGGGTGCCCGTTCTGTGCTGACCGGGCAAACGGTCATCCTGTTCATCCTCACGGTGACTCCGTTCCAGGAACATGCCAGGAAGATCTCCAGTCCCGCTCCCCGGGACAGACCCGGACTGGCCCAAGGACAGCACCCTCACACTGTTCCCACGACCCTCTGCTTCAGTCTGGAGGGCCAGGCTGGGCCTGTTGTGCTGAGCAGGACACTGAGTCCTCCCAGACATGGAGCCCACCTTGACAAGACCCAGATCAAAGGCAGGAGTGTGGTGGGCACCTCCCCACCCAGGCCTCCCCCCGGCCATGGCCTCCTGTGGACAGCTGGAAGCCAGGGGTGGCTGCAAAAGGACTCAGCACCTCCCAGTGGGAGGTAGCCGTGGGGGAAACTGGGTGTGGGCACCGACCCCTTCCATGCTGCCCCCCTGTCCCTAGAGTGCCTCATGAACCTGTCCCAGTCTGGCCTATAAGGATTGGTTCAGGAGCCGTTCTCCCAGGCCTGGGCCCTGGAGGACAATGCAGTTCTCATGCACTTTCGGGTCTGCATGAGGGAACTATGAGGAGACACTGGGACCTGCCACCCCTAGGGAGGCTCCAGCATCAGGTCTCTGTCTGAGTCACCCTCTGGGGCAGTCGATAGTGGAGGGGGCCTGGGTCCCTGCAACCCCACTACCTGGACCTTCCTCCCAGACCTCTTCCTCCTCTACAGAGAAACTCCCACAGACAGACCTGCCGGTTTTAAGGGGATGTGCTGAGTGCACATGTACTGGACATGCTGCTCAAGACAGGTGGGGGTGCCCCCTGCACCTTTTACACTGTCTCCGGTCTGTGCCAGCTCCCTGCCCTGCCTGTGAGCATCAACAGACGCCAGGAGGATCAGGGTCCCCTCACTCCAGAGTGCCCCTTCAGGGATGCCAGGTGAACAGGAGAATCAGTGTTTCTGGCCCAGAGGATCTGGGGAGAGGACACGGGCAGGAGCCCTGGCCCAGGGCCAGAACCAAGAGTTCAGCCAGGCGTGGGAATGGTCCAGTCTTGGCATGGAGTGGACGACTCCAGAGAGCGGATGTCCGGGGCCGTCTCACCCACTGTGGAGACAGGCCCCCGTGTGAGGTGGCAAGACGGCCAGGTGACAGTGAGAGCTTCTTCCCACCCGAGCTCCGAATCAGGGCTGCATCCCAGGCCGCCCAGCCCTGGGATGAGGACGTGAGGCAGGAAGCCCCAAGCCAGCCCGAACCCTGTGTTACCTGTCCCATGGGGGATACCCAGGCGGCTGCACACACCCCTTGCTCTGGGATCTGCGACCTGCAGGGGTGTCCTCAGTGTCAGGCTAGGGTGGAGGACAGAGGGACCCCAAGGACTCCAGAGACCCAAATGTGCAGAACCCGGCCCTGCGAGGACATCTGATGGGCTTGGTGGAGAAGCTGGGTTCGTCTGCATTCTCTTCAGCCAAACCTGAGGGAGGGACCCCAGCACCCCGAACTCTTCGGGTATTTCCTGGCATTGAACCTCTCTACAACGGGGATGGGCTGACCCTCCCTGGCCCACCAGCCCAGCTCCAGCAGCCCATGTAGGCGACTCCTCTGGAATGGGAGCCTGATCCTCCCCTACCCTGGCCTGGCCAGGCTGTCCCCGAGGCCGAGGCCCAGTGACATGTAAAAGGGGATTCTGCAGCGCCCAAGGCAGAAGGTTGCTCTCTGGGAATCTCCAGGGCTCAGGGTGTGGCCATGCCGTCCCCAGCTCAGGGCAGACCTTGGGTTAACTGGCCGTACCTCTGGTGGAATTCCATGCCAAAGCTTCCAATGGAGCCGGATGGCGTTGGGGGCTTGTGGTTCCTGTGGTATGACCTTGAACAGGGATGCTGAGCTCCTGTCACTTCCACATCTGCCCCGGATAGGCTCAACAGCTTCATCAGGGCCCTGACACCAGAAACTACTGTGCCCCGTGATAACCAAGAGGCAGGTCCAGAGACATTTCTCTACACAATGGCACCTGCATCTGACTCCTCTGGGCGGGCAGTGACCAGCCCGGTGTGGAAGGAGTTAAGGCAGCACCCGGCTAGCTGCTCCACAGCCCTAGATGGCTCTTGGGCCTTGGGAAGTCATCTTCAATAAGAACGCTGTTCACTCTAAGACTTCCCCAGAGGGGTGAGTGTGGCACCCCTGCAGCCCCAGCCGTCAGTAGCGTGCCTTGCAGCCTCTGACTCAACCTGCAGGACAGAGCCCCGCCCTCAAGGCACAGTTCCCAGGACCAGAGGGGCCTGGCCTCAACCTGAGCCCTGGGAGGGGAGGGGAGCCAGAGGTGTCACGTGCCTCCACAGTGGCCAGGATGACCACGCAGGGGACCCATGGCACTGTGGATTCAGTTGCTGTACCACTTGATGGCGCAGAATTTGAGAGTGATCTATGAGAACATGAAGTGCTGAGCCCGTATAGCGAGCAGGACATCAAGGGCTGACTCGCAGGGGCTCATGGCCGCAGCAACTCTGGCCTTATATCTGCGGTGCAAGTGGTCTGCACCCCTGGACTGGCCCAGCGCACCATGGCTGCCCCTGTGCCTTGACCCACTGTGCCATGGCCATCGTACCACTCAGAGGCTTTGAGGCCCTGCCAGGTGCACTGCCCGCCTCCTTGAAGTTGCCTCTTAGCGCTTTCCAGCTGCTACTGCAGCTGCAACTGATGCCACCACAGAGTGCCTTCCAGCAGCCGATGCAGGCTTTCCAGGCGGTAGGGGTGCCCTGCAGCCGTGGCCTCAGCAGCTCCTCGGTGGCAACTAGGCCAGCCAGGGCAGTGATGATGACGGGAACGACAAGTGGGATGGCAGCTCCATGATGGTGGACAAGCCAGGTGCATTGGGCAGAGGTGCATTCCTGGAACTCGACAGCTGCCTGTGTCCCCACGTGGGCAGGAGCTCGGTCACTGTGAGCCACAACCTCAACCACTACTCTGCCTTTTCAAGTCGGGAAGGGAGGCCTTTGTGCTTGGCGAGGCATTGGGCTCTGTGAAGGACAGGGACATGCTGTGTGCATGGTGCTGTGGCTGCTGTGGCTCCATGGCCCCAAGTGGCAGGAGTAGCCCTACCCCTGCCCATGCACCATTGGCGACACCACTCAGTAGAACAAGTTCAAGGGCATAAAGAGCTACCTCTCCTCCAAGCTGGTGCATGGCTCGACAAGTCCTTGGACTGGCTGGATGCATGTCTAGTGAAATTCCCAGTCATCTCCATGCTCCACCAGCCTGAGAATCGGGCCATGGGCTGCCTCCAGGAGGACTCCATCTCCATGCACAGGAAGAGCCTGATCTGCGGGATGAGCCACACGGCCGGCCGCCTGGTGCTGGCGCAGTGCCATGTCCTCCAGCACTTCCTGACGTGCCCCAGCAGCACTGCGAGGAGGCCTGGAAACAGGGCAAGAGGAAGGCTGAGAAGGGTGGCGTGGTGGGTGTCAGCTCCTTCCTGACCCTGAGCACTACCCCCACCACTGCCCTCGACCTGCAGGAGGTGGAGCGCAAGATGGATGGCTGGAGACGCTTCCCCAAGAAGGTGGACCACAGCGCTGCTGCTCAGCCACAGGGCATGGAGCCCATGGCCAGGAGGTGAGGGGCTTCAAGAAGGAGCATCAGCAGGTGGCCAGCCCTTCTGTGACCTCAGCTAGGCCTTGGAGTGGGCCCAGTGGGCCTCTGGGTGGTCCTGAACCAAGCCATCCCCTTCCCTGAGGTGCCTGTGATGCCACTGGTAAGCTCTTCCGGATTGGCCCAGGCAGGACCTGGACCCCATCTTGCACCTGTTAGTGCCAGTCCCAGGGGCACGGGGCCAACTTCCCAGACATCCTCCACGTTCACAGAGGAGCTCTTACCAGTGTCACGGGGAGCAGGCGACTCATGGGAGGAGGGAAGATGGAGGTGCGGGGCTGATGGCTTTTAGGAGAGCGCTCTGACTGAAATTCACCATCTCTATCCAATTCCAGTAGAGACTTGAGACCACAGATGCAGCACGTTTTACCACAACAGATATTTTTTCCAAAAAGCGACCCAGAATTCGGAACCAGCTCTTCACAAAGATGAGAGTGTTGAGTGACTGGACGCTGGGTTGGGGATTTTTTTTCCGATTCAAGGATAATTTCTACGGCAGAATAAAAATGCCTATCAAAGAGCCATGGCCAGCTATTCGTGGTGGTACAAGGATGGTTTTGTGCTCAACTGAGGCCAGTCGAATAGAGAATTACGTAGGAAACAAAGAGCGAACACGGCGATGGAGTAGAAACAGCACCATGTGTTGTAATTTCGTAGGCGTCGGTGCTGTGGAAGTTCCTTCCTTCCTTCTCTCCTTCCTGCTGTCTGAGCCTCCTCCCAGCTTCGGGCATCCCCACGTCCTGGGCCTGTGCTGGGAGAGACACAAAGGACACAGTTGGCTGCGGTCCAGGGACTGGCACGATCAGGGGAGCCTGGTGAAGTCAGAGTGGCCCCTGAGGACCAGTCCTGGGATGACCGGGTCTAACTGACCAGGCCCCTCCTGACCAGGGCCCCATCCACTGGGCCTTCCACGACCTGGCCTTCACTGAATGGGCCCCGATGACCAGGTCTCCACCGGCCCGGTCTCCCACTGACCAATCCCCAGTATCCAGGCCACACTGACCAACACTGCTAACTAAGTTTTCATTGACCAGGCCCCCGATGACCAGGCCTTACTGATTGGGCTCCTCCTGACTAGGAGCCTGCTGACCAGGATATCATTGCCCAGACCCCACTGACAGCCGCCCCGCATCCCTCCCCCACCTCTGCCAAGCCCCCATGGATTAGGACCAATGATCAGGCAGCCACTGGCCAGGGTTGCACTGACCAGGTTCCTACTGATCAATCACCTGCTGACCAGGCCCCTGAAGACCAGGTTCACACTCACCAGGTACAAGGCCCCACTGACTAGGCCCCCACTCACCAAGCCCTCACTGACTCGCTGACTAAGTCCCCCGATGAGGCCTTCACCGTCTGGACCCCACTGACTAGGCCTCATCAATGAGACTTTCACAGACCAGACCCCACTACCCAGGACCCCAGTGACCAGGCCTCACTATCCAGGACCCACTGATGGCCTAGGCCTCCACTGACCAAACTCTCACTGACTGGGCCCAACTGACCAGGTCCTTAACTGACAAGATTCTGACTGGCCAGGTCCTTAACTGACAAGATTCTGACTGGCCAGGTCCTTAACTGACAAGGTTCTGACTGGCCAGGTCCTTAACTGACAAGGTTCTGACTGGCCAGGTCCTTAACTGACAAGATTCTGACTGGCCAGGTCCTTAACTGACAAGGTTCTGACTGGCCAGGTCCTTAACTGACAAGGTTCTGACTGGCCAGGTCCTTAATGATCAGAACCTTATTAAGCCTCACTACCCAGGAATCCCACTGACTAGGTCCAACTCAAAAGGCCCCCACAGACCAGGTCCCCACTAACCATGTCCCTAGTGACCAGGCCCCCTTTGACCGGACCCAACTGACAAGGCCCCCACAGACCAGGCCCCCACTGACCTGGTCCCTACTAACCATGTCCCTACAGACCATGTCCCTACTGACCAGGCCCCCACTGACTGGGCCCAACTGACAAGGTTCCAACTGACTAGGTCCTTAACTGACAAGGTTCTGACTGACCAGGTCCTCAATGAGTAGACCTTTACTGACCAGGCCCCGCTACCCAGGAATCCAGTGACCAGACCTCCCACTGACCAGTTCCCCACTGACAGGCCCCATCTCTCCAGGACCCCAGTGGCCAGGTTTCACAAAGTAGGCCCCACTGACCAGGCTTCCACTGACAAGCACATCTTGACCAGGTCCCCACTGACTAGCCCCCAGCTGACAAGGCCCCAGCTTACTAGGACACCACTGACCAGACCTCCACTGATCAGGCTCAACTGACAAGGCCCCCACTCAGCAGTCCCCCACTGACCAGGCCCCAGCTGACGAGGTTCCGACTGACCAGGTCCTTACTGAACAGACCTTTAATGACCGGACCCCACTAACCAGGATCCCAGTGACCAGGCCCCCACTGACCAGACTTCCAGCGGCCAGGCCTCACTATCCAGGACCCACTGATGAGGTCTCCACTGTCCAGGCCCCCCACTGACTGGGCCCAATTGATGAGGCCCCCACTGATGAGGTGCCCACTGACTGGGTCCTAACTGACAAGGTTCTGACTGGCCAGGTCCTTAACTGACAAGATTCTGACTGGCCAGGTCCTTAACTGACAAGGTTCTGACTGGCCAGGTCCTCAGTGACCAGACCTTTACTGACCAGGCCCCACTACCTAGGACCCCAATGACCCAGACTTTTAATGAATAGGTCTCACTAACCAGGACCCCAGTGACCCAGGCCTTTACTGAATAGGCCCCACTCTCCAGGGCCTCAATGACCAGGCCCCTACTGACCAGGTCTCTCTGAATAGACCCTTACTGACTAGACCCCACAAACCAGGACCTCAGTGACCAAGATCCCATTAACCAGGTCCCACTGGCCAGGCCCCAGGTCTCCAGGCCCCCAGTGGCCAGGTTTCACTACCTAGGCCCCACTGACCAGGCTCCTTCTAACAAGGGCCCCCGACCAGGTCCCATTGACAAGTCCCCACTGACCAGGTCCCCACTGATGAGGCCCCAACTTACCAGGACCCCACTGACCAAACCTCCACTGACCAGGCCTCACTAGCCAGGCCCCACTGATGAGACTCCCTCTGACTGGGTCCAACTGACAAGACCCTCTCAGATCAGGTCCCACTGACTGGGCCCAAAGTGACAAGGTTTCAACTGACCAGGTCCTTAATGACCAGACCTTTACTGACTAGACCCCACTACCCAGGACTCCAGTGACCAGGTCCCTGCAGACCAAGTCCCACTGACCAGGCTCTGGCTGCCCAGGTCCCCACTGACTGGGCCCCAACTGACAAAATTCCAACTGACCAAGTCCTTACTGAACAGACCTTTACTGACTAGGCCCCACTAGCCAAGAGCCCAGTGACCAGGCCCCCACTGCTAGGCTTCCACCGACCGTGTTTCTATTGAACAGGCCCCAGTGACCAGGTTTCCCCTGACTAGGTCCCCACAGACCAGAGCCCCAATAATCAGCTCCCACTGACCCAGCTCCCGCTGACCAGGATCCCACTGACCAGGTCCCCACTGGTGCCAAGTGACTAGGTCCTGAACTCGAGGACCCGTGACCAGTCCCCTCTGACCAGGCCACAGCTGACCAGGCCTCCCACAGACCAGATTCTCACTGAGCAGACCCCCACTGACAACATCCCCATTCACTAGGTGTTTTCTGACTATGTCCCCAATGTGTCCCCGTTCACAAGGCCTCCATTGACCGGGTCCCCCACTGACTAGGACACAGTGTTTAGGTCCCACTGACCAGGCCCCCAATGACCAGGCCATAGTGTCCAGGTCCCACTGACCAGACCCCCGCTGACCAGGCCACAATGTCCAGGTCCCACTGACCAGGCCTCCGCTGACTAAGGCACAATGTCCAGGTTCCCACTGACTAGGCCCCTCAGCCGTGGTGCTCAATGTCCCCCTACCTATGGCTCTCACTCAGCCCACAGACTCTCCCCTCCCCACATCTGCAGCCACAGGCCAGGCCCCTGGGGGTCTTTTTGGGATGGGGCCCCTCCTCCAGGACACAGGGAGGGACAGTTGGCCTCAGGCTCCAGGCGCCCAGCTTCACACTCGCCCCCTACAAGGCCCTCTGGGCTCATCTCAAAGGGGACAGTGAATAGGCAAAGCACCACCTGGACCTTTTGCTGAGCTGCAGTCCAGGGAACAGAGGGACGTTTGTCACACCAGGAACCTTTTGTGCCAGGCCTCCCAAGCCCTGCCTGTGGAGTCTGGATCTAGAGACACAGTGCGGAGGTGGTGAGGTCACCAGCCCAGGACCCTCGAGGCTGAGCTGAGGAACACATGAGGACTGTCCCCAGATGTGGACGAAGGATTACCTAGGTGCCGAGGCAAGAGACTGAAGGCACAAACTGTTTCAGCATAATAAAGAAAATAGAATAGTCAAAATACAAATTAGATATAGAGATGATCATGGACCATTATCAATCGTTATTATAAAGATTATTAATCATTAGCTTTTAATATTACTCTTTGTTGCATTAAAAATATAACCTAGGAATAACCGGTGGGTAGAGGGTCAGGTGCTGAAGGGACATTGTGAGAAGTGACCTAGAAGGCAAGAGGTGAGCCGTCTGTCATGCCCGCATAAGGGCCATTTGAGGGCTCCTTGGTCAAGCGGTAATGCCAGTGTCTGGGAAGACACCCGTTACTTAGCAGACCGGGAAAGGGAGTCTCCTTTCCTTAGAGGAGTCAGGGAACACTCTGCTCCACCAGCTTCTTGTGGGAGGCTGGATATTATCCAGGCCCGCCCGCAGTCATCCGGAGGCCTAAACCCCTCCCCGTGGCGCTGTGCTTCAGCGGTCACGCTCCTTGTCCAGTTTCATGTTCCTCCCGTACTCCTGGTTCCTCTTTGAAGTTTGTAGTAGACAGCGGTAGAAGGAATAGTGAAAGTCTTAAAGTCTTTGATCTTTCCTACAAGTGCATAGAAGAAAACGTATGCTGCCTTCTGTCTCTGCTTCGGCTACCTAAGAGGGAAGAGCCACCTGTCCTGTGATCACGTGACTCGTTCACCTTGTCAATCACTTAGCAGATTTACCCTCTTTTTTTTTTTTTTTGAGACGGAGTCTCGCTGTGTCTCCCAGGCTGGAGTGCAGTGGCGCGATCTCGGCTCACTGCAAGCTCCGCCCCCTGGGTTCACGCCATTCTCCCGACTCAGCCTCCCAAGTAGCTGGGACTACAGGCGCCTGCTACCACGCCCGGCTAATTTTTTTGTATTTTTAGTAGAGACGGGGTTTCACCGTGTTAGCCAGAATAGTCTCGATCTCCTGACCTCGTGATCCACCCGCCTCGGCCTCCCAAAGTGCTGGGATTACAAGCTTGAGCCACCGCGCCCGGCCCAGATTTACCCTCTTTACCCTGCCCCTCTTTGTCTTGTATGCAATAAACATGAGTGTGCCCAGCCATTCGGGGCCACTACTGGTCTCCGCATCTTGGTGGTAGTGGTTCCCCGGGCCCAGCTGTTTTCTCTTTATCTCTTTGTCTTGTGTCTTTATTTCTTATGATCTCTTGTCTCCGCACATGGGGAGAACACCCGCTAAGCCCGGTAGGGCTGGACCCTACATCCAGACAGCCAGAAGACTGCTAGTTTCTTAGTCAATCCTTCCTTCCTTCCTTCCTTCCTTCCTTCCTTCCTTCCTTCCTTCCTTCCTTCCTTCCTTCCTTCCTTCTTTCCTTCCTTCCCTCCTTCCTTCCTTCCTTCCTTCCTTTTTTTTTCCTCACTATGTTGCTGGTCTTGCACTTCTGGACTCAAGCGATCCACCCGCCTTGGTCTCCCAAAGTGCTGGGATTACAGGGGTGCGCCACCATGCCTCGCCTCAGTATGTCATTTCTTACCAGTTACCTTCCTCCACCAAGAACCTCCTAGATGCCAAGTCAGTGAGAAAAGGAAGACGGTCAAAGAATCCATGGAAAGAAAGTGACACAGGCTTAGGACGTGGGAGTGCCACATGCTGAGAGGAGGTGCAGGCCGAAGGAAGGACGGACAGAAGGAATGAAGGGCTGCTGGAGTCAAGCCACCCTGGGACAGAGGTGACCATGGACCCTCCCAGGAATGCGTTGCACGGACTATCGTGAATGTTCCAGATGTCACCGGAACCCCGGCCCTCTGCTCCTGTCCCAGGCTCCCCTGTGGCCTGTGGGAGGTGGAAGCTGAGAGAGGTCGGGTGGAGCCTGGGTTGTGCTGCCCTCTCCCCCTGCCTGCCCCAGGGTGTCCGGGGCTTCCTGCAGAGAGCTCTGGGTTTAAGTGATCCACCCACCTTAGCCTCCCAAAATGCTGGGATTACAAGCGTGAGCCACTGCGCTCGGCCTCTTTAATCGTTTTGACTCACCAATATTTCAGACTGACTTCCTTCTGTATGACCATTTCAGTCAAAAACAGGCAGGTCATAGCGACGGAGAAGTGACTGTGTTTTAACCAATGAGGGTGGGGACTTGAGGCCAAGGAGGGGATCCTTGCTTCTGAGAGGGAGGCCTTCAAAGGGGTGAAGGCATTGGTACTGGCAGCCCTGGTCCCCCCACCACCCCCTACTTTGGAGCTTGGAGCCTCCCTGCAGTGTGTGAGACCTCCTTTCCTGAGTTTTTCTTTTCTTCTTTTTTTTTTTTTTGATGGAGTCTTGCTCTGTCGCCCAGGCTGGAGTGCAGTAGCATGATCTCGGCTCACTGCAACCTCCGCCTCCTGGGTTCAAACGATTCTCCTGCCTCAGCCTCCCGAGTAGCTGGGATTACAGGCATGCATCACCATGCCCAGCTAATTTTTGCATTTTTAGTAGAGACAGGGTTTCCCCATGTTGGCCAGGCTGGTCTCAAACTCCAGACCTCAGGTGATCCACCCGCCTTGGCCTCCCAAAGTGCTGGGATTACAGGCATGAGCTGTACTGTTTCCTGAGTTTTTCTAACCATGAAATGCAGCTGCCAAGGATGGCAGCTGTAGGGACCTGGGCTCCTGGGCCCTCCTTTGCCCAATTTTCTTCAGTCCTAGTAACTGAATCAGGTTTTTTTTTTTTTTTTTTTTTTTTTTTAAAACAGAACAATATATTTGGCTACAGTTCCACGTATCTGTAGTCAAGACAAAGCCACGTTAAAAATCAGGCTCTAAGTCACCTAGGTATAAAATACAGACAAAATATCAAAATTGTGATCATCTGACCTTAAAAATTCAGCCCATATGAATGTTTTTTTTTTTTTTTTTTTGAGACACAGTCTCACTCTGTTGCCCAGGTGGAGTGCAGTGGCGCAATCTCGGCTCACTGCAACCTCCACCTCCTGGGTTCAAGTGATCTCTTGGTTCAGCGTCCAAAGTAGCTGGGATTATAGGCTTGCGCCACCATGCCTGGCTAATTTTTGTATTTTTAGTAGAGACGGGGTTTTGCCATGTTGGCCAGGCTGGTCTCGAACTCCTGACCTCAGGTGATCCACCCCACCCACCCATCGGCCTCCCAAAGTGTTGGGATTACAGGCGTGAGCCAGCGCACCCAGCCTGAAATTACTTTTAAGAGAGTAAATGTGCTGTTGGGCATTATTTCACTTTTCTTTTTAAATAAACAGACCCATTTTTTAAATCTTTTTTTTTTTTTTTTTTTGAGGCAGGGTCTGGCTGTGTCGCCCAGGCGCCCAGGTGCCCAGGCTGGAGTGCAGTGGTGCCATCTCGGCTCACTGCAGCCCTGACTTCCCAGGCTCAGGCCATCCCCCAACCTCAGCCCCCTAGCTGGAACTATACAGGCGCGTGCCACTAGGTCTGGATAAATTTGTTTTGTATTTTTTTTTGTAGCGACAGAGTTTTGCCATGTCGCACTGGTTGGTCTCAAACTCCTGGACTCAAGCAGTCCGCTATCTCAGCCTCCCAAAGTCCTGGGATTACAAGCATAAGCCACCGCGCCTGGCCTCTTTAATCATTTTGACTCACTGGCATTTCAAACTGACTTCCTTAGCTCTGTGTGACCATTTCGGTACCCAGGGATTTCTGAGGCAGCGTTAAGTTCGACTTCACAAAAACAGCAGATACTTTAACCTTTCAGTGACAGATTTAGAAAGTGTCAATAACCATATGGTTTAGCTCAGTAACTATAAAAACGTGGAAAATTTGGCATTACAAGCCAGAATCCCTTCCTGCTCTTTCAATTAAGCAGCTTTCGAATCTCTGTGGCATTTTCCAGTCATTTGTATTTCTCTTACAATAATAAGAGCTTAAAAATGACTTTTAAGGTTTAATGTCCTGGGGGACTTATCAGTCATACTTTTATTTGAAATACAGTATAAACCAATTATGCTTGCCTTCAGTATTTGAAATAGTAGAAATTATTGCAACCAACAGATCCACCCACACCTGTTTTAATGACATATGACACTGAAATTTATAGATGTCCCTGAGAAGTTTTTAAGTAAACCAGTGAATCTCATCCGAGTCTCAGTTAGCAGTGTAGATCCATTAAAAAAATCGTCTCCAAAAAAAAAAAAAAAAACAAAACCAAAACTCTCCTAAGAACTGAAGCCGGGTGTGTGTTGTCACTGCCTCAATATTTTAAATCCTGATGGACTGACTCCCTCTTCTCCTCGCTGTAAGATACGTTTGCTGAAATCTTCAAACTGAGTTTCAAGACACTTGCTTGACGAGGCGATGCTACAGCTGCCTCTAAGGGAATAGACATCGTATCAGAGATGAGCATTGCGTCTGCCTCTTCCGCATGCGCCAGCATCCATCCTATCATCCACTTGGCCGTGCCAATTGATGGCAGCTGCTCCTCCCGCCCCTCTCACTGCCAGTATGTGATCCTGAGTTAGTCATTCCGTATGTTAGCCTTGCACCCTTTCAATCAGAAAAGTTGCGGCTTACTGGAAGAAGGGAGCGGGGAGAAACGCAAAACCAAGAGTCTAAAGGCACAAAGCTGCAAGGCTGCTCTGTGAGAGTTTGCAAACAGGCTACAGGTGGAATGTAAATCACCCTGGTCTATGAAAGTAAAAAGGCATCCACAGCAGGCTCCATCCAGCCAGCTTCTTTGAGACCCTTCATGGATTTTTAGGTCTACCAAGTGTGCATAAAAATATTCGTACTTCAAAAAGCAAGAAGGCAAATGGTATAATCTCATGATCTCAAATTTACAATGATGGTACAGGCCCAGCGAGCCTTTGAGGGCCGGGCGCGCACCCAGCCTGTCCACCAGTGTGGAGCTGTTTGCTCACGCATCATCCTAGTCATAGTTGCTGCCCTGGTTGGCCTGGCTGCCACCAAAGAGCTGCTGAGGCGACCGCTGCTGGGCGCCCCCACTGTCTGGAAAGCCTGCACTGGCCGTGGCACCTGTTGCGGCTGTGGCAGTGGCTGGCAGGTGTCAGGAGGCAGCTTCCAGGTGGTGGGAGGCACAGCGGGCAGGGCCTTAAAGCCTCTGGGCAGCACATCGGCCTGGCGGGCTGGGGGGCCCAGGCTGCTGCTTGCTGGACTGGGCTTAGGAGCGGATGTGGATCACTTGCACTGCACAGATGGGGCTGGGAGGAGGCAGCAGTGGCCGTGGCTCTGTAGACCCCTTCGTGCCAGCCCCAGATGAGTGCTGTTTGCTGCACAGGCTCAGGACCTCATGCACCTGCTTCAAGATCTTGCCTGGATTCTCCAATGAAAAGTACAGTGCCCAGGTGTGCAGTGCCACGGTCCCCCATATGGTCATCCTGGTGCCCCTCCCTTCACAGGGCTCCGGTTGAGGCTGGGCCCCATGTCCTGGGAAGTGTGCCCTGGGATCAGAGCTCTGTCTCATAGGTTGAGTCAGAGGCCACAGGACATGCCGCTGGCTGGTCTGAGCTGCAGGAATGCCTTGCTCACTCTTCCCTCTGGCAGCCTCTGAGGGAGCAGGTTTCCCCGTAGAAAGTAGAAAAAGAGGTCCAGAGGCACTGGAACCATCTGGGGTTACGGGGCAGCTGGCCAGGTGCTGCCCCAGCTGCCCCCACACCATGCCAGTCACTGCCTACTGAGAAGTCGGATGCAGGTGCCATTGGGCAAAGTGGATGTCTCTGGACTTGCCTCTTGGTTATTATCACAGTGCCCGGCAAGGCCGGGTTTCAGGGCCCTGATGGGCTTGCTGGGCGTGTCCCACTGGGTCCCACCCACGATTCTGGGGTTGTCTTGGGCACCCGCGCAAGGTCCAGAATCCCTATTCAAAGTTGAACCACAGGCCCCTGACGTCCAGGTCCATGGCGAAGCTTGGGCAGGAAGTTCCAGAGGAGGTACCCTGGGGCAGCCCATGGTCTGTCCTGAGTTGGGGACAGCCTGGCCACACCCTGATCCCCCCGGGGTCCCAAGAGAACAATCTGCTCCCTTGGGCTCTACAGATGTCCTCTTGTGTCTCTGGCTCTGGGCCTCGGGCTCAGGGACAGCGTGGGGGACGGGGGCAGGGTGGCGGAGGACCAGGCTTTTGTTCTGGAGGGGCCGCCTGCAAGCCTGCTGGAGCTGGACAGCCTGGGGTAGGCCAGCTCATCTCCCTTGCAGAAGGACTTGACATTGGGAGATGCTTGCAGAGGCCTGGGTGTCAGGGACTCTAGCTCCAGTTTCGCCGAAAGGAAAGCAGACATGTGTGGTCCGCTTCTCCACCGAGCCCATTAGGTCCTCACAGGGCCGGGCCCCCCCCAGACCTGGGTCTTTGGAGTCCCTGGGGTCCCTGTGTGGCTCCTTGAGTCTGATGCTGCGGACACTCCTGCAGGTATCCGATCCTGGAGTGACAGTTGTGTATGGGCTGTGGCGGGGGAGCCGTCGGGGCACCTCAGGTTGCTCCTAGGCCGGCCCCCGAGGGTTTGGGCTGGCTCAAGTCTTCCTGACTCTCTCTCTCACCCCAGGGCTGTGCTGGCTGGGATGCAGCCCTGATTCAGAACTTAGATGGGAGGGGCCCTTGCTGTCACCTGGCCCCCTTGCCACCTCACTCGGGGGCCTGTCTCTATAGTGGGTGAGATGGATGGCCCCAGGCATGGGGTCCCCTCTGCCCTCCGGGGCCATCCACTCCATGCCAGGACTGGACCATTTCCACACCTGGCTGGACTCTTGGTTCTGGCTCTGGGCCAGGGCTCTTGCGCGTGTCCTCTCCTCGAATCCTTCCTGGGCCAGGCATACTGATTCTCTTGTCTCCAAGGCTCAAGGTTTGTTGTCCTGATGCTCTTGGCGGGGGTTCAGGGGTAAGCAGCCCCCGCTGCTCTGAGGCTGTGGATGCTGCAGGTAGGGCTGTGGGCTCGCACAGATGGGTCCTCTGCAGGGACCTTCGAGGGCAAAGCAGGACACTGTGGAAGGTGGCAATGGTGGGGCTCGGAAGAGTCTTTCGCCTGGTCCCCCCGCCTGATCTGCAGCACGTCCAGCACACACGCGCTCAGCACCTGCCCTGAGGACCTGCGGGCTCATTTCTGGAAGCTTCTTTTTTTTTTTTTTTTGGACGGAGTTTCACTCTTGTTGCCCAGGCTGGGGTGCAATGGTGTGATCTCGGCTCACTGCAACCTCCGCCTCCTGGGTTCAAGAGATTCTCCTGCCTCAGCCTTCCAAGTAGCTTGGATAGCAGGTGCCCGCCACCACGTCCAGCTAATTTTTTTTTTTTTTAATTTTTTTTTTTTTGAGACGGAGTCTCGCTCTGTCGCCCAGGCTGGAGTGCAGTGGCCGGATCTCAGCTCACTGCAAGCTCTGCCTCCCGGGTTCCCGCCATTCTCCTGCCTCAGCCTCCCGAGTAGCTGGGACTACAGGCGCCCACCACCTCGCCCAGCTAGTTTTTTGTATTTTTTAGTAGAGACGGGGTTTCACCGTGTTAGCCAGGATGGTCTCGATCTCCTGACCTCGTGATCCGCCCGTCTCGGCCTCCCAAAGTGCTGGGATTACAGGCATGAGCCACCGCGCCCGGCCTTTTTTTGTATTTTTAGTAGAGATGGGGTTTTACCATGTTGGCCAGGCTGGTCTCGAACTCCTGACCTCAAGTGATCCGCCCATCTCGGCCTCCCAAAGTGTTGGGATTACAGGCGTGAACCACCCTGCCTGGCCTCCAGAAGCCTTCAGAAGTGCAGGAGGAAGGCCCAGGTAGTGAGGCTGTAGGGGCCCAGGCCCTCTCCACGATTGACTGCCCCAGAGGGTGACTTGGGAGGGGACCTGCTACTGGGGCCCACCTGGAGGTAGCAGGACCCACCACCTCCTCGTCAGTAACCCCATGGAGACATGAAGGCACCTGAACGCCATGGCATCCTCCAGGGCCCAGGCCCAGAAGAACTGGTCCTGGGTGAGCTCCCTGAGGGTGGACTGGGACAGCTTCATGAGATGCTTTAGGGGCAGGGTGGGCATCAGGCCGGGATGGGTCCCTGGGAGAGGTTGGTGTTCACACGCTGTTTCCACCATGGCCCCCTCCCACTGGGCAGTGCTGGGTCCTTTTCAGGCCACCCCTGGGGTCCAGCTGTGCATAGGAGGCCACGGCCAGGGGGAGGCACGGGCAGGGAGGGGCTCACCACACTCCTGCCTTTCATCCGGGTCATGTCGAGGGTGGGCCCTGTGTCTGAGAGGTCTCATGGTGTCCTGTCCCTCAGACTGGAGCAGAGGGTCATGGGGACGGTCTGAGGGTTCTGTCTGTCCCGCGTATTCCCCTGGATAGCCTTGGGCACGCCAGGACTTGACTCTGTCAACTTTGGAAGTTGTGTGCCGTTAGGACACGCTAGCCCTCCAGAACGTAGCTGCCTGGCAAGCCCAAAGGGAGTCTTTGGAGACAACAGGCGTGGGAGGACCTGGCCCTTCTTAGCTGGGGGCTGGTGGCTTGGGCAGGGCCCATTGGGGTTTCAGTGCCCTGGAGCACCAGGGACCCCTCCCCATGGGATGAGATCCCCCACCCCACTCCCCTGTGAGGCTGGATCAGAAGAAGTCCTGTAGCTCCTCATGTGGGAGACTCATTTCAGTGGGGATGTGGCTCCTGGAAGGAGAGGCTCCCCACAGGCTTGGGGCTTCCCTGGGCTCTCCCAAGTTGAGTCCTGGCCCTGTCTGCCCATGAGGCTGGGCTGAGCCCCGGCCTCTGCTGTGGGATGCTCCCTCTGGGGCATTGCCTGGCTCGTGTGCCCCGCAGGGACATGCCTGTGCCTCCTGCCAGGTCGGGGTGAGCCCGTTCCTCCTGGGGAGGCAGATCCCTGGGCTGGGGGATCCAGGCAGTGTGGGGCAGGAGGGTCCCTGGGCTGGGGGCTCCCTGCTTACTTCATTGATGTATGAATGTACCTGCTTACTTCATTGATGAGGCACTGGAGGAGTCAGCGTAAACGTGGAATTCTGGGTGCACAGCTCATCCTTGTCCTAATGGGAGCAACAGAGGTCCTTGGGGCCCCTGGGCCTGCCCCCAAACCTCCCTATTCCAGGCCCCTCTGCAGACCCTTCCCTGAGAGACAGAATACCAGGTGGTGGCTGGGGCACCCCTGACACCTGCCCCCTGCACGGACCCCCAGGACACACTTCCCTTAGCCTTGCTCAGCCGAAGCTCAGCCCGGGTAGAGTGCCTCTGCCTGCTCCAGGGCAGGAGAAGGAAACTCAGCTCCGGAGCCATGGAGAGCTCCATGTCCCTGGCTGGGTCTCAGCCTCTTGCCAGCCCCACCAGGGGCTCGAGCCGCCTCTCTACCCCTGGCCCATGGGACCCAGGGCCTCTGGGAAGGAGCCGAGGGGACTGTCCGTTCACCAAGTGCCGAGGATCTTTGGGAATGATGTTCATAACACGTGCTCCTCGTGGGCTGGCACAATTTGGGCTGCAGAATCCTGAGAAGCCCCCGACCCATCTCGAAATCAGAGATCCTCCCAACACGCGGAGCCGTCCGCCGCCTGGAAGGGCTCTGACGGGGTTCGGGTGGAGGGGAAATTGGGCCCCGGCCCATTTTTTGATGAGAAGGGGGCTTCTCGGATCCAAACTCATTTCATGACAAGAGCCGCGTCCATCAGGCACTTCAGCAACTTGTTCAAAATGTTTCCTGGGACGACCGTCCGGGGACACCGCCAAGCTCTGGGGGGCTTTGGGGCAAGTCTGGGAGGAGGGCGTCATTACTTGCTCTGTGAAATGGTGGTCAGGCTCAGGTCAGACCAGGGGTCTGGGCCTTGACCTCTTTCCATCTTACTTTGACACCTTTGACACCCTTCTCCTCCTGCTTGGATGTCCAAGCCAGTAGCGAGCTTGAGTCCCAACTACTGTGTCTTGGTGGGTCGCAAATGCTGATTTTTTTTTTTTTTTTGAGACAGAGTCTTGCTCTGTCGCCCAGGCTGGATTGCAGTGGCGTGATCTCGGCTCACTGCAATCTCTGCCTCCCGGGTTCAAGCAATTCTCCTGCCTCAGCCTCCCGAGTAGCTGGGAATACAGGTGCGCACCACTACGCCCAGCTAATTTTTGTGTTTTTAGTAGAGATGGGGTTTCACCATGGTGGCCAGGCTGGCCTCGAAATTCTGACCTCAGGTGATCTGCGTGCCTTGGCCTCTCAAAGTGCTGGGATTACAGGCATGAGCCACCGCGCCTGGCCGCAAATGCTGAATTTTAAAGAAACAATGACACGCCCCACCCGAGATGCCTATGCCTGTGAATATGGGAGTGTGGCCCGGGAATCTCGTTGCCTGGGAATACTCACGGGGTTAGATGCAGAATATGCCACCGGGACCTGAAAGAAATCCTGCTGCTTAGGAAAGAGAGAAAAGATTGTTTTGCTTCAGGCAGATGCTGTTTCATTTTGTCTACAAGCCCCGATGACAAATCCAACTCAAGGTTGAGATGATCCACCGAATAAGCAGTGACCTTTTCAGGGCATCTGATTATTTTGGGAAATTTCTGGGTCAAATCCTCTTTCAGTGAAATGCAAATATCTCAGGTGTGCAATCACTCTGCTTGATTATTTTTCTCCCCTTTTTAGCACAGAGTGAAAGCTCAGTCTTTGGGATACGCAGTCCCACGTTTCTGAACCAGGGTGCCGAGTCTCCCACCCACCACTCCAGCACCTCCCAGAGCAGCTCCTTCGTCCTCCAAGTCCCCAGGGTGTCCCCTCTGCAGCCGATCTCTCCCACTCCATCAGCCCTTGGCCATCCTGATCTGTTATCCATCCCTATGGTTTAGCCTTTTCCAGAATGGCCCGTGAGTTGGAATCCTACAGTGGTCGACTGTTAGGCCTGGCTTCTTTCCCTCAGCGAAATGCGTCTAAGATTCACCCACATTGCTACGGGCGTCAGGGTTTTGCTCCCTTTTCTCACTGAGTGGTGTTTTGTTCGAAGGGCGGATGCCCCCTTCCTCCCCTAATCCCACGTCGAAGGTTTTCTTGGTGGCCTCCGGCTACGAGTGATGATGAATCAAGCTGTGAACGTGGCACCCGGGTTTTACGTGGACGCCAGTTTTCAAATCACTGGGGTCAATCTCCGAGACTCTTCTGGGATGTGTGGTACGAGTCCACTGAGCTTCATGAGCAGCCGCCCAACGGGCTTCCAAAGTGGCTGTGCCCTGTCCCATTCCCACCTGGCAGGGACGAGGGTCCCTGGGGCTCCACATCCTCCCGGTGCTCGGTGTTGCCAGTGTTGCTTGGGAAGGCTCCTGAGCCCCCTCATCCTGCCGTCCTCTTGTGGGTCCCTACCCTGGTCCCCAGAGGCACACAGAGCACTTTCCACCATTCCGCATGATTTTGTTTGCTGCTGTCCATCTCCTTGGGAGCCGCCTGGATTCTGGCCCCATGTGTCCCAGCCAGGCACAGGGCTTGGAGCCCAAGAGGCACTGAGTCCACGGTGCTGCATGCCTCCTGGGCCAGGAGAGCGCTTGGCCAGTCTGTCACTCTTCCAGGGTGACACCTGCCTCTGCTCTGGGGAAGCCCCCATGCCTCTGGATCACCCCATCTTCCCAGGGACCCTCCAACCTCCACATCTGGTGGAAGTTCCCAGGGGACCTCTTGCCCTTGTTCTTCATGACCTGCAGGGCAGGGTCAAGAGGAGGAAGCAGCCTCCAGACAGACTGAAGACGCGCTGCCCCACACGGCTGTCATCCACAGTCCATGCTTCTGGAAGGAAGGAAGGAAGAAAGGAAGGAAGGAAAGAAGGAAGAAAGGAAGGAAGGAAGGCAGGCAGGTGGGAAGGCAGGCTTCCTTCTGCAGAAAGCTCCTTCTTTGGCCTGTTTTCCAACAAGCCAAAGGGTCACCAGGAGGGTCGCTGGAGCCCAGCTCACCTGTGGTGCCGGCGTCACCGTCTGTGCCCAGGACGTGCATCTGATCCTCCATCTGGAGGCCTGGGCTCCCGACATGGCCTGGCCTGTTTGTCCGGCTCTGGCTGAGTGTGGAAGTGTGGTACCTGGCATTTTCCCAGGTTCTCAGCCTTCACTTTCTCGACATTCAGCAAGAGTGACCACACTTGGCCCCACATCTGCAGACGGATTCCCTTGTAGACCCCGACAGACAGCTATGGACAGAGGAACGCTCCAGTGAGACATGGGGTGACCCTGGGGAGGACAGGACCCTGAGGATTCCGGATATCTCCAGCCTTTGGCTCCTCAGTTCCTTGGGAGAGGTGGGGTCTACCTAGGACTGGGTCTCTCCTCCCATGATTCAAAGAATGAAGAAGCACTCAGGGTCATGAACTCTGATCTTTTTATTTTTATTTATTTATTTTTTTGAGATCAAGTCTCACTTTTCACCCAGGCTGGAGTGCGGTGGCACAATCTCGGCTCACTGCAACCTCCGCCTCCTGAGTTTAAGTGGGTCTCCTACCTCAGCCTTTTGAGTAGCTGGGATTACAGGAGCCTGCTACCACAGCCGGCTTAGTTTTGTATTTTTAGTATAGACGGGGTTTCACCATGTTGGCCAGGCTGGTCTTGAACTCCTGACCTCGGGGGATCCGCCCGTCTTGGCCTCCCAAAGTGCTGGGATTACAGGCGTGAGCTACTACGCCTGGTCATGAACTCTGATCTTGACCTATTCCTTCCTTCGGGTCACCAGGGGGTGTCCCTACCCCTGAGCTAGGACTGACCCAGGCCCTGGCATCAGACTCTCTCCTGGCAAGATGAGGTTTGCAGGGAAGAACAGGAAAGCTGGTGTCCCAGTGTGGTGTCCATCCTCTGAGAGGCTGGCAGTGCCAGGACACAGTCATGGGAGCCCGTCCCCCTGACTCTGTAGAAAGTGGTCACGGGGCCCTTCCCTCCCCATGTCACCTCCTTGCCACTCCTATATCACTGCCAGTCGAGAAGCACCTGGAGCCATTTTTCTCTGTCTCTCATCTCCTGACGTCTTCTCTGTCAAACAAGATGAAGTTAGCGGAGCTGCCGGGATGCCCCTTGGATGCTGGGTCCTGGGCTCCAGGGCCCCGACAGGATCAAACTGGAAGGAGCCAGGAAAGGGCCCGCCCTGGGGAACTGAGACCCTCTGACTGAATGGGCCCCGGTGTCCCGGCCTCATGACTTGGGACATGCCGTCCTCAGGCCACAGGCGCCCCGGGCGTTGGTGGGGTTCCAACATCCAGGTGGGGTCTTGGCACAAGTGGGCAGTGACTGCTCAGCCACGACTCTGGTTCTCAGTTTGGGGTTTGGTCAAACCACCACGGGGACAGAGTCTTGAAGTCAGGTCCCGCAGGAACTGCCACCCCTCCCAGGGACAGCCTGTCACTCCCACTCATCACCGCCTGGGTCCACGGGCTGCTGACCACCCACCGAGTCTCCCTGTCCCTGGACCAGCCTCTCACACGGCAGGGTCAGGCTCTTACCTTTACTTCCAGGGCACTGATGGGTAGCAGCTACGTCTCACTGTAAGGCAACCCAGGCAGAGCTGAGGACCTCTGCCGGGCCGGGAGCTGTCCTCCTCCTCCCCTCGTGGGCCCCAGGGAAGAACCAGCCGTGTCCCCCACCCCCGCCCCAGGTCTCAGTCCAGGGGACGCACAGGGAAGGGAGGACGGGTGCTTCCCTGCCAGCTGGTGCCTGGGAGGGGTTGGGGCCTGGGAGAAGAGGGAACGTAGGGCCCACCCAATGGGGGCCGCTTGGGGCTTGTGGAGGGCGAGGCTTGGGTTGCACGACGGGGCTGCCCCTCCTGGGCTAGGCAGCATCCTCTGCAGGAGCTGAGAAAGTCCAGGCCTGAGGCGGGATGGGTGTGACCCAGGGTGGGTGGTCAGGCCCCAACAGCAGTTCCCGAAGGAGTGACCACATCACTGGTCCGAGGCCTGCTCAGGGCACGGAGGGTGCACCTGGGCCCTGTCCCACTTGACGCCCGCAAGGGCTCTTGTGGGGCCTGACTTTCCAGTGTACACCTGCCTCTCCCTGCACCCCGGCTGCAGACTCTGCCTGTTCCTTGACTTTGCCCGTCCTGTCCAGCCCAGAGACTGTCTTTGTGGACAGCCTGGCCCTTCTTCCACCCTCATTTGTCAGAACCCTTGAGCGAGGGCCCTGGATCCATCCACACGCCCGCCTCGACCGCTCTCTCACTGGGCTGCTAAGTGCCGTGGGGGAGATGCCAGAGGTGACGAGGGTGAGTGAGGGCTCCACAGGCGGCCGGGATGGCCCCACAGCCCCGTCTCCAGCCTCAGTTGGCTCTCGGGGCTATCATCCATCCATCGGTCCTTGCCCTCCTCTGAGCCACTGTGGCAGCCACACACTAGGCCCCTGGCTGTTCCCCCGCCGTCCTGCCTGCCCCGACTCGGCCTTCCTGATCCTCCCTCAGCCTTTGTGCTGATGGATCCAGCGGGGAGCCAGGGTCTCCGGAGGGCCATGCAGAGCCCTGGGGACTGACCGAGCCCCCTCTGCTAAGGAGTCCCAGGTGAGCCGCTACCCCCGGCCCCACCATGTGTTGTTCACCCCAGGCCATCAGCTCCATCCTAGGCTGGCTCCATTCAGGTGCATCCCAGAAGTGGCACTTCCCGTGGGATCGTCCCCACCCAGCCTCCCCCAGGCTCCTCCCTCTCTCTATCCTGTGACCCCTGAGGGGCAGGCTCCAGGCTGGGCTCCCCTTCCCAGGACCCAGGCCCCCTCTCAGCACCAAGGCAGGTTGCCTTCAGCTGCAAGCTCATCCCTAGCCTCACCCTGACATGCCCTGGCTGACACCCTGCCCGTCTTCCCCTCCGCCCTCCCAGGGCCACAGCCCTCACTGCCCCCCACGCCCCTCCCCATAGGGTGGCTCAGTTGGGCCCCCTGAGTCCTCAGAGACCTGCTGGACAACTGCCCACAGGCTGGGCCAGGCACCCCCATGCCCTGTGGCCACCACACCTGTGGGTCTCACTGGGGCAGAGCCCAAGGGGACAGGACCAGACCCTCAGGTTGCCCTCTACTCTCATACTGTCTTTGAGACCGTTCTGCTGAGAACGTTTCCA